GGGGAACGGGGGGGAACGTCTCCGCCGCCCTCCGGGGCGATGCCGGTGTTTGCGGGAGGGGATCGGAGGCACCATCTCCGCGCCGTGCGTGGAATGCGGGGAAATGCGGGGGGCAAGCGTTGCCCCCGCCCTGGCCGATCCTCCCCGCTGCCCGGCGGGCTGCCAGGCCTCGCCTGCTCTCCCGCCCCGCCGCGGCTCACGGGTGCTTGGGAGGAGAGGCCTCGGTGCTTTCTTCTCCGCCCAAGGCCTCCGGGGGAAGAGGGGTTGGCGACCGGGCAGGTGCCCCGGGCACGTCTCGGCGACTCTTGCCGTGTTTGGAAGCGAGCAGCGGGCTGGGGAAGAAACCTCTCCTCCTTGCTAAAAAAGGAGGGCAGGCAACCGATAAACAAAACTTTTTGTCGCAAGCTTATTTAGGGTTTTGTATGTGTGTGTTTGGGTTTTTCTAACTGTGGTAGACTCTAAGGTGTAAGCCCTTTGCAGTGTGTGCTGCAGAAGCATCTGTTTTGGTGGGGTTGCTGCTCTGAAGCTATTTTGTTGTCAACCAAGAATCAACAAGTGCAGCTGTAGCCAATGAGTAGGGAAAGTATGGGTATATGGAAAGTATATCCTACTGCAATATCAGATTTACTGTTTGATGTAATTGTATATGCTAGCACTGTGACCCCCAAAGGCTGTATTTGTTGGTTTTTTTATTTGTTGGGGTTTTTTTGGGGAACTGTGAAGAAGGGAAACTGAGTAACAGAATAGAAAAAGGGAAACGTTTGTTTTGTTAAGAGGCCATAGGGATATAAAGACTGGTAGTGGAGAGACACGATGGAAGAGACACATCCCAAGCAACCTGCTAGGAAGCCTTTCGTTTCCTTCGTGCTATGTTAGGTATCAGCTGTTGCGTGTGACTTCTAGTTAATTTCACTTCCATTCATGAAAGTGGAGAGGGGGGTGGTGGGGGGTTATTTTTGTTTTGTTTTCCTTGAATGTTGGTAATTTGAGGCCATGTTATGTATACAGACACCTGCCCATAGAGTTCCCAGATCTGAAATAGATTTTTCTGTGGGTCTTTTTGAGGTGATGGGGAAGAAGAGGAAGAGAAGGGCTCCCTGCTTAGTTTTCTTATATAGAAAACTCCATTCCCCCTGCCGTTCTGCTCATACCACTGTTTTTTTCCTGTGGTTATTTTCGTGGCTTCTTTACACATTTCTAAATGCGAAAACTTTTGAAGGGGAATTTTATTAGCCCAGATAATATATATTTGCTAGAAGTTTGCCAGTATTGTCAGGCATGAGAATTTGCCTGGTGTAGATGTAACTTTACTTCTGTTGGTGTAATTCAGAACACGTCAGAGAATGAGGTATGCTCTACTGGCAGAAGTATTTTTATTTTGGTAGTAGTCCTGCATGCATTAGGAACTTTGCCTAAGGCATTCCGAACTTGTATCTGTACTCTGAGAAAATTTTCATTATATACTTAACCTGTCTTTAAATTTTGCTATTTTGTGTCCACGTAAAGTTACTTAGTTGCAAAGGCTTTAACTATAGTGTTCAGCAACACAAGGTGTGGGAATTTGGCATGTTTTTCTATAACTGTAATCGCACAGTAATGATTTTGCTTGTGCAAATATACTGTCCAAAAGAATTCAGTACAGAGAGAATTATTGAAGTCCTATCTATAGGACTGTTAGTTTAGCAGTTGCGAAGGAAGATCTGTTAAAAATCTGACTACTCCTCAGAGCCAGACACTTTTCTTATCCTTATACGTAAGTTATTTCAGAAGCCGTCTGTTAAAGGAAACCCATTTGAGTGAGATCCAAGAAATGGTTTTTTTCAATCTCTAATACTTGATATAGAAAACAAGAACTTGTGCTTTCTAAAAACATTAAGACCCTAAAGAAGTAAGAAGATTCAGAACAGCCACAGAGTAAGTGTGTTCAGTTTGGGTGTAAAGTTCCTCTGAAGCTGAATGTTTTTCATTTATACTGTGAATACATGTAACAATTTAGGAATGATTTGCATTTTGGATACTTACTGGGCACTCTGATTCTTTTGATAATGACTTTGGTGCTATAGCATATTACCATCATTTGACAGTTCATGTGATTCTCCACCTTGACAATTAATTAATAAAGTCATACTTCTGAAAAGGGCAAGCCTATCAGTGAATTGCAGCAATGGGATTGGAAGAATTGCTACCTCTCATGATAAATTGCTCTAAATCTCATTTCTGGCTGACCAATTCGTTAGAATCTTATTAAATGCACTTCATGTCAGCATCTTTCTGGCTGTATACCATTGCTCTGTACTGAACACTTTTTCACTGTTAAATATCACTAGACTTGATATTTATTAGTAGTATTTATTGTTGTGCCTTCTTAGATAAGCAGCAGTTGTAGAAGAGTCAGCTGTACTTATTGCAAGTTTGTCTGGCCCTAATTTTTAGGGGGATCAGCTGCATAATCAGTTAATAAAATTCTATCATTCCTCAAATACTAATAAAGTTTTATTGTGTAGAGGCGTAGGGAAATTCCAAGACTTGGAAGTTTCTCAGGTACAGAATTGGTACCAAGAACTGATGTGTAGTATGCGATTGGAGGAATACAATGTTGTGAATAATTGTATGCCATTCAATATATGGCAGCTCTAGATTTGATATGCAAAAGAGTAGAAACAGAAGTTTCCAGCAAGTGTAGTAATTATGTCTTTAGTTGTAGAACAATGACATCCGTAAACTTTCTTTTTTTTTTTTTTAAACTCCTCCTGTACTTTATTTTGTGAAACTGGTTTATACACATATATAACTGACTGCAAAAAAAGGAGAGTTGGCATACGTTGGAGATGAGCAATAGCCTGGGAAAGTTTGTTTTTTTGCTTTTTAGGTATAGATATGCTCCAGCATAGTATCATGACTTGTCTTGAGAGTCCTCAATTCTTGTAACTGTTCACGCTGCTTTATATGAAACTCAAAATAATTGTCTTCTGTCATTTAATTTCTGTGAGTTTCTGCTCTGACACTGTCACATTTTTAAATTTTATAATGTGAAAGTTGCATTTGTATTACGTTTCTTTGGTCTGCATGTCAGATTTGTGAATGTGCTGCTAGTGCACTTGCTATTAGTCATTACAGGAAGCACTGAGCAGGAACCTTAGAAGTGGAAGAGTATGGGCATCTTCTGTAGCTCGATAGCTAGTTGTTAACACCCCTCGACGATGGTTGCTATGGGGTAGAACACATTCTGGTGGTTGTGCAACTTTGCGTACCTGGTTGTCCAGCAGACAACGCCTAAGGACATAAATAGGTTTGGATGTGGAACTGGATGCTTTGTTCTCCTCCTGGTGATAGCCATTTGATGACAGCCAAGTTTAAATAATTTAGGTACAGTTTCTGTTTCTGATGTATACCATAAGCCTATGGTACGTAGGAGCTTATTGTTTATTTCCTCATCTACCGTAGTTTCTTGCTAGCTTCTTAGTTCCTTTTAACTAATTTGTGTTGGTCCATTTTGCTTTCACCTTTGTGTATCCCAAGAGCCGTGACACTCTTCTCTGAATCCGTAAATCCTTCAGGCAAGGTGGTGAGATTTATCATCTGCTGCTCTCTCCCTAATGCTTGCACCTGTTCAATCCAAATTTCAGTCACATTCATCAATAAAGTAGAGGTCTCAAAACCGGTGTTTCTAAGACTTTGTGAAAAAAACTTCTGAGGTAGAGAAATGGGTTTCTAATTAGTACCTGTCTGAGCGTAAAGGTATGCTGTGATTACAGCCATGTTATGAGACATCAGATAATCCATATTGGAATTATAATCCTGGTGTTCAAGGAACTACTTGATATTTCTTGTGCTCAGCTTGTGGTCAAAGTGGGTTGTGAAGGCCACAGAAGTTATGATTCTTTTCAGAATTGGTGAGAGATATGAAAGAATAACTTTAGCTCATATATATTTGAGGTTTTGAGTTAAATAAGCTCATATATATTTGAGTATATTGAGTTAAATAACTCAATTTAACAGGAAAAGGTATAGAACTTGAAAGTAAATGTCAACGCAGCCGGCGGTTTAGTAAAAGATACTGCCTCTGCTTATGAGTTGTGAAGCGAAACTAGCCTTCCCGTCAGTGCATGGTTTTTTAAATATTTTGTGAGCAGTCAGAGCTCTACATTGTTACATGGTTTAGGTGAGAAGTGAACAAAAATGATAGTCACTGAAAAAGTAAGTGCCTATTACTTCCATTAGAAGTTTCAGTTCAAATATTAAGGCTGAACACAAGCTGTGTGAACTGTTTTGGAGTAGGTGAAAGCAGTTACACTGTTTCCTGCAACAGCACTTTTATGGTTTGTTCTGGTAGGGGTTAGAGAGGAAATGGGTCAGCTTTTGATGAACTACATTAAAATCACTTCAGATAAATGTAAAGGTCAGCATAGGCAAACTAGATATTTTATTTTTTTTATAGTAAAGTGGAATCTTCTCCTGGCGAAGACATTACAGTTTATTGCTAGCTGTGGGCTGTTGCTGTAACAGCATTTTTATAGCCTTATGTGAGTCATGCTAAACTATGGCTCAACTTAATATTTTATGTACCTCAATATGTTGCTCTACATTCCTTATTACAACCTTTGAAATTTCTCGTCTTACTGAATGCAGTTGATACTCGCTGGTAATGTCTTTAATATTTACTGTAGTTATTTTTCAACCTATTTCAAATGCAAATATTTTTGTTACAGTAACATCTGCAGCAATGATTAAAATTACTTCATAGGTTTGGAATACAAGCTTGACAGCTGGTTATGAACAATGAAGAATGTTGCAAAACTGAGTTTGTCTGATAAATAAGGCTGTAATAGGTATACACTCTTGAATTTTGGAGACAGATTTCAGATTAACTATTCTATCTAGTTGCTGTTGCCATTTCTTTTGTGTTTAGTTATAGCAAGAGAAATGAGAGCTCCAATAAAATTAATCAAAAGAGATTTCTTGGGTTTTCAGGATGTTGGGTTTTAATGTGGACCACTGGCATATTGAAAGTACAATGTGAATAAAAGCTGAAGTAGTGTGTGTGTGTTGTATTCTCAATCTGTTACAAAGGAGCTTCCGGTGTCCCAAACAGATCAAGTAATTCTTATAATCTTCCTAAGGAAATGTGTTGAAGTAATTATAATATTAATTTATCTGATCTGTCCGAGAGGTAATGCAGTTAGGATAGAGCTATATTGAGCTATATACATGAGACCATGCCTGTAATTTTTAGGGTAAACAAGGTCACTCTTATGAAGAGACCTGATACTTAATAGAAAAGATTAATTGCAGGAGTGCATAATGTTCAAAGATGTAGTCTGAGGGAAAGTAAGTACTTTACTGTTCAGGGTATGTTATCCCTTTACTTCAGAAACACTTTGGCATTCACTCCTTTTGAGTTCTGTCTTTTGATCTGGCATCATCTGTATTGACAGTATTTGTGGGGAATTAAAGGCAACTTTAGATCAGATCTATAAATCCAAACTGGATATATTGTGTTTGGTCTTGAAGTATTTCATAGAACTAAGGCAATTTTATCACCATACTTATGCCATTACCTGGAGTAAATTGTAACTCCTAGAGTGGGCACAGCATTGATTTTAGTGGTATAGTTATCTGTACGGATTAGGGGCACTGAGTTGATCAAATTAATCATAAACTGTGGTGTAAGTCATTAATGTCCCCGTTTTTCCTTTGCGTTTCACTTTGCTGCAGGGGCAGTAGCAGAAAGGCTGCAAGAGATGTATGTGCTAGTTCATATTCTGACATGTTAGCAGAAACCTGTTTACTTTGAGCCTACTTGTTTAGTTTTTGGTGCACCTCCACTTCTTTCAGTTTGCTGTAAATGTGCCTGTGGCAGAGGGCTGGGCAGGCAGCTGGGAGAATTGATCTCTCAAATTAACCCAAATAAATGTCCTGGAGTTCATCTCTTTGAATCTTATAGCTCCTGTTATATTAGCAGAGAAGTATTAAAAGCCCTTTAAATCTCAAGGGCATCTGCTTTCTACGTACCTGCAAGGTTAGCTGTCTTCTTGGGTTTTTAACACAATAAGGCTAAAGGTGCCAGTGCCCTCCCCATTGTGCAGTTATAGCTACTGAGAAACATGGGATAATATATCTACTTAAGCATCATGCGTAGAAACCTTGTACAAATATACCTGGACTTGCCTCTACTGGTGATTGAAATTCGTACTACACAAAAAAAACCAAGCAAAAAACAATCAAAGCCACCACACACCCCCTAAAACCCCTCCAAAGTAATCCAAACTTTGAAAACTCAAAGTAAGAATTAGTTTTAAATTATTTTGATGCCACATGTCTCAAAGTAACTTCTCAATTGATTGCCTTCCCCTTTTCTTTTTCTCTCTGAATTTTCAGAAAACCATTGTTTCATTTCCTACTGTTTTGCTTCTCTTGCTTCTGAGAAGTATTATTGGGTTATTATGTAGGTTTTGATTCCTGTGAACCAAATGGATTAAGGAGAAAGTCTAACACACTTCCAGAGCTGTCTCATCCGTTACAAGATAAGGTGATTCTGCTGTACTTGGAGCCAAAGAAAATCTTAGGTTAAGAGGGAGTAATAGAACTAGAGATTACAGCAGGATAGATGAAGAGAATTAAAGGCAAGTGACACAGTAGTTCAAAAAATTCAAAATGCACTTATGTTTCTACCTCTCTGTCCCTTTTGGTGATCTTGAAATCGAAGTATTTAAAATTGCTGAGAATAGTTTAAAAGGAGAATATATGATTTCTGTAGGTAAGGTATTTCATGACCAGCTTGAATTTTTCCTTAAACATGCTCTTCAGTTCCTCCATTAATATTTAAAGTTTGTGTACTTTATGGTTCATGACTGTCCATTCAGCCATCACCATTAAGTACCTTTAATATTGGAGCTTGGGATAAGTGAGAGGGGGAGCCTGTATGCTATGTGGCCAGATTTTCTCCACGTCTACAACTCTGCTGATACGGGTAGAAAACTATTTGTTAATTCCTCCATCAATTTATATTGTAAAACAAAATGAAGAGTCTTGCTTTTAAAGATCCTTTACATATACTGAGTGTCTTCCATATTTATCTGTGGGTGTAATGTAGTACAGAGTGTGAATATTATTCTCTGCTTCACCTTAATGAAAGGGTTCTTCTGATGCTTTGATGTGAGAATCTGATTGCTGTGTTTACAGAGAAGGTTCACAGCCTTCAGAGAAGGATTAGAGTTTAGCAGCAATCACTTCGTGTTTTCTCTCCTTTTTGTAATTATGTTCATGTAATGCATGAGTGAACTTACTGAAGCATGAGTTAAAGACATCTCAAGTGCTAGTGAAATTTGAGGAGGAAGGAGCAAAGCATTTAAAAGGATAAGACCTTAATTGGACACTGTGTTTAGGGATATTTTTCCCTACATGCACCCTGCGTGTGATTCTAGGGATGCGAGTGCCTATATGTGGTGGGAAACTTTGCATTTGCAACTTTAGAGTTACCCATAGTAGGGTATTCTCTCAACCTAATATCACCCCACTGAATTAATATTTTTTAAAAAATTAAACATACCAGCCATTTGGAAAGACAGAATTAGTTGCTTTAAAAAAAAAAAAGAGACCATATGTTATCAAATAATTACTCATTTTGACATTTAGGCAGCATCAAGAGATAATTATCCTTAAAAATATTTTATCATAATGGCAACTCTTCAACAGAACTCTGTAATATACTAGCAAGGAGGAATATTATGTATTCCATTTCCATTCATAAATTTAAAATGTGCTCCCTACCTGCAGTTAGAGTGAATGGTCTTTGATCCTCTTCCCATGTGGAATCCTGAAAATCATAAAAATGTGATGAGGTGAATTAAAACCAAACAATAATAGTGAGGTCAAAACCAAATGGGGAACACCCACTCACCCCCTGCTTCTTTCCAACACAAAAAATTGAGAAAGATTCCTTTAAAAGGAATGTGTGCTCATGTGTTGCAAATTGCATAGTAGTTGGCAAGGTTTTGTCTCCTAGCAGAAATACAATAATCTTTATAGGTGGACATTAAGACTACCTTGTCTAAAGTGACTAAAATAATTTTCGCAGGTAAAATTGTTAGAGTTTATGCTTAACGCTTCAGATTCATTTGTGTGTTTTTGTTGTTTTGTTTTTTTTCCTTGAAATATGTAGGCATTTCAGTAGGACTATGGAGGAGCTGGTTCACGATCTAGTCTCAGCGCTGGAAGAAAGTTCGGAGCAAGCCAGAGGAGGTTTTGCTGATACTGGAGATCATTCTCGAAGTGTGTCTTGTCTTCTAAAACGACAGGCAAGGAAAAGGAGGGGACGAAAAAGACGTTCATTTACCACCCATCATCCCTGGGAGACTGGTCACTGCTTAAGTGAAGGTTCTGATTCCAGTTTAGAAGAATCAAACAAAGACTACAGGGAGAATCATGCTAATAAGAAAGACCACAGTGACTCTGATGACCAGTTGTTGGTTGCTAAACGGAGGCCTTCCTCAAACTTGAATAACATTAGAGGCAAAAGACCTCTGTGGCATGAACCAGATTTGGCTGTTGACAGTTTGGGAAACAGAACTTTGCGCAGGAGAAGGAAGGTAAAACGGATGGCAATAGATCTGCCATCAGAAGTCTCTAATGCACTGACAATAACTCAACAGCAGGATAACAGCAGAGATCAAGAAATGGACAATAATAATAAATCATACCAACACCAAGAGTTTTCCAAGAGCAAAGTGAAAAAAAGAAAAGTAGCTGCAGCTCGACAAGGACCGGAAATTTTGGATGAAGGAGTAGTTATAGAAAATGAAGAAGTAAACCAAGCAAATAAGGACAAAATGGAGTATGAGGAGCAAAAAGGCTCAGATGACAACATGAGTGACAGGTTATTCTTTCTTTTCCTTTTTACAGAAACTTTGGATAATTTTTGTTTGCTTTTCTTACAGTTGCTTGTATTTTGAATGTTTGGATTTTTCTTTAACTCTAGAGTTAAAATGTATTCTATAGTATATAGTATAACAGATCAATAGGATATGTTTTAACAAGTTACTCTTAATTCTTTTTTTTTTAAGTCTACTGTTTTTAATATATATGAGTTGCTTAGGTTAAGGAATTCAGCATAAAATAGTCATGTAGCAGAAGAATACCAGGAAAACAACTTCTTGAAACAACACATTTGAACTGTTTCAAGATTAAGAATGACAGAATAAACAAATGATTAATACGTTGGGGTTTTTTCTGGGTATTTCAACTGGTGACAGTTCTAAGACAAAAATTAAGTGTTTTTCCAATTTCTAGACATTGGTGCTTTGATTGTTATCTCTATTCATCAGAAAGGTTGTCAGTGTTTAGAGTCACCATTTAGACAGTATGTTCTTATGTGTCATGGGCATAAAAAGTCTGCAGGTTGCCAAGGATATACATCATTTACGAAATGCAAAAACCAATTTACAGTTCAGAAACACCTGAGCTTACCATTAGAAAAATGGGGGAATGATGACTCTTTGGCAGTACACCTCATCCATCCATTCCAGACAGCAGTCATAGTACAATGGTAATTGTTTCCAAAGTACTATTTTGACAACACAATAAGGTGTAAGTCATTTTTTCCACCATGCACAAGGGATGTTACCTGCAGGGCCTAGTAAGCTTGATTATGTTTATCCCATGTGCCTGGTTCTGAATGCAGAACTGTCAACAAGACAGACTCATATTAAAACACATAATTTTGGTCAGTTGCCTGACAGTACTAGTGTCCCTGTTTTTTTTGTAGGCATTTTATCTATAAACTATTTAGTCTTTTTCTTACTGGGGAGGCAGAGTTGAGATGCAGAAAATACCCAGGGGTTTTGGCCAGAGCAGGCAGATGGGTTACAGTAATAACAGCAGTGTTGGTGACTAAGGTCAGAAAGGTTCTTCTAAGTCTTTTCATTACATACTTGTTTTGTCCCTCACCTGAGACAATAAGCAGCTGAAAGAATCATGAATTTTAAAGATTGTTTGTAATGTCTTAATTCCTAGAGCAGAAGCAGCCCTTAAGGCAGCCAGTGTAAATTCAGACATCTTATTTCAACATGCAAGACAAGAGTGTGTGTTGTCAGGAAGCCTTTAGAAAACTTCCTTCTTTGATGATACTGGGAGTCTGTTCCCCCAATTCGGTACCTAAAGACAGAGCTTTAAAAATTTCCTTGGAGCTAGGAACCATTGTGTTATCATATGTCCATAGTCTTATCACTTTTTTATTTATAAAAAAAATTCTGTTATATTACAAGGGTAACAGTTCTCCAACTCAAAAATTGTGTAGATAACTTTTGAATGGGGAGAGGAGTGATCAATACAAAAATCCCCTCTAGACTCCAAAACTGTGCTACTTCCATGTCGGTCTGAATATTTTGTTGTTTTTTTTTTTCACAAAAGAAATGTTACTGATTTAAAACTTCATCTTTCTATTCAGAATGCTTAATGTTTTGTTACACATAATGGTGTCGTTTTTCAAATCATACTTCGTTTGTCTCTGACCCCAATAAATGACCTTTAAAGCCATTCTCATCTTCAGTGTTCTCTGCTCATGCACATGGTTGAGGGATGGTCTGTTATTCTACTGAATTTCTCGCAATGGTCATCTGTACCAAAAGGTTTGTAAACCACCAAATTAGAAAACTTGCATTCCAAAATGTGATGAGAAATCCACTGTATCCCATCTTGGGTCCATACTGTATCTCAGTGTTTTATATGTAAATAATTTTAACTCGTTTTAAACTAACTTTACTTAAATGCAATAATGCCTCTTTTGTTTGAGACAATTTAACCAGAAGAATCAGAAACAACTAGCAAACTCTTCCTAAGAATATGTTCTAAAAGTAAAAGCTGAGATTTTAAAAGGGAACATTAGTTTTGTAAGATTGCACAAGACACGGAGAGCTAACAAAGCGTCTTGGACAGGATTCATGCTTCAGCAAGACTTGCTGAAAGAAGAAAAATAGAAAGTATACAAAGCTGCTCTAGTTTTGTACATTTGTGTGCATACAGTTTAATTATTTTTCTAAAAAAAAGATTAAATTTTTAAAAGTTCAGTTTTTAAAAACAAAACAAAGCAAATAAAATTTAATGGGAGTTAAATTGCTTGTATATAAAACTGGTGACAAGTTTTCAGTGCATACATGAGATTACTTCGAAATAACATAACCTATATATTTGAAGTGCACATTAAAAATGCTAAGTGAGACTTCTTTTGCAGTCTTTTATTTGTGTGTGTTCAAACACCAAACACAACAATAACTGGTTTTTAAATGCAGGGTTCAGGAGTAGGAGTCTGCAAGTTCTTCAAATATCAGCATCTAAATGATCCCAAAGATTAATTCCTGTGAGGTTGGTTTTGAGCACTTGGAAATCGGATTTTCTTGATCAGAGCCTGTCCTTTGCTCATTTGTCCTTATCCTCAATGTTTAGATGCTTGGCCAGTTTCAGCCAAATTCGGCAATGCATGGCATTCTGGATGATGTTTAATTCCTGCAAGCTTTGGCAATTGTTTGCATTTTAAGTGACTAAATAGAGGAGAAATCTCAATTGCCCCTTTTGAAAGGCAGCAGCAGTGAATCTCAGCCAGCCACCCACCAGCCTGCCGGTCACTGGCTGGTCTGTCCCTGGGACAGGCTTGGTTAGTCAACAGAGGTCACAAGTCTCATAAGAAACCAAGTTTGCTAGTAATAATAACTAGTAATAAAAAGTATTTCTTCCTTGATTCCACGAATGTATAAAGCTGTGAAAGCTTTTTGGATAGCAGAGCTGTTTCTTGCAAGTTTTTGCTTGCATACCCTATTTTATAGGACTGGAAGGAATCCGTGGCTTTTTGTTTTTTCCTGGAGGTCTTGCTGGGATAGGAAGTCTCATACAAAGCAAAAGAATTAGAAATGTACAGTGCAAAATTATATTAAAACAGGAAATAAATTCCATCATAATAGCCTTCAAGTACTTAGATATTAATGTATTAATTCCAGAGGTTTTGAATCTATTCAGTGGAATGACTGCCATGTAGCAATTATCTCGGCTGTAATCCCTGCCCTATTTGACTGTGGCAGGAAGAGAAAGAACACTGTGACTGCCATGGCATATGCCAGCATTACGGTTTGATTTAAAAACAAACAAACAAACCCCAAACAACCAAAACATTATTATATGTAATTTTTACAATTTCAAGTGGTTATGTTTTCATGAACTGGCTAGTCCTTCAGTACAATTTATTGTACAATTAAAATATCTTACTTAAAAAAAAAAGAAAAAAGGAAGGAGACTTCTCAAAACTAAAAATTTTAGTTGAAACTAAACTAAAAACTTGCTGAAATACTAGGGTTGAAAGGATTTCTTAACTTTCATTTAAAAAAATACAGTTAAACAATAAATGGACAAGAGGAATCTATGAAGAGGGGATTTTTTTTCTTTCAGATGTATGATGTGAAATTATGCACAATGAAACGTAAGGACAGTAAAGCCATCTATGTTGTAATGAAAGTGAGGATGGGATGCTTGCTAGAAAGACTTATTAGGATTTGTAACATTAGGAAGTTCAAGATCTGGTCTCCCCCATGGAAGATGGTCCCAATCTCATTGCATGCCTGTTCTCTTTCTTCTGCTTAGGGCAGTTGTGCAAGTGCTTAAATCTGTTCTGATTATATTATGTATAAAAGATGGTATAAGTATTGCTTATACGGTCAGAATATGGATAAGCAGAAGATACAGCAAGGATTCAGAAAACTTAATCTTCAAATACAGATCTGTGTGTGTATATAGAAAATTATTTTTATATTCTTTACCATATATGTAAGAATTACCTATATATATATATAAATATAATTCTTTAAAAAAAATTCACTGCTTTCTGTCTCCTCATACCATATTGTGTTTCAGATCCTCTTGGGATGCCTCCCAAAGGAAGATACAAAAACTAAATGTATACTTATATCTAGACAAATTTTATAGAAGTCATATTATAAGCTTAAAAAATTGAGGCTTACTTTTTGTAAGAGATTAACATTTAAAAGGAAATAACTTTCCTAAGTGTACTAGTTATTTAAAAACAAAAATAAAAGTAACTTATTATTAGATAGTAACTGAAAATAATTTAAACCAGTTAAATTCAAGTATAGAACTGCATGTAAGTTTTAATATGAATAAGTGTAGAAAGGTAAACAGACCACAAGTTCTTATAAATAGCTTGTATGGAACATTGAGAGTAGCCATAGTATTTATAACTTGCACTTGAATTTGTGTGGTAAACCAAAGTGATTTTTTTTTTTTTCAAATTGTTTTACATCATACTGTAAATTAAATGTGATTAGATTTTGGTGGGAGTATTACTTCCTTAGCAGAGCTACTTTATTGACAAAAAAGGAAATAAATGGTTTACAAAAAAATCTGTTTGTGTGAAACTCACGAAATTGTGATCTGCGTTATTACAAGGCAAGTCTGTTTTAATATTTAGACACAACTGGAATATTGTTTGTAACAATGTGGATACAGCAAAGAAGAAAATACCTTACCTATTGATGTCTTTGAATTTAGAGAAGTGTGTGCATGTTTATACACATAGTTTAATTTTAATGCCATGATGGAAGTCAAAGAAAAGTAAACTGTACTTTGCTTTTTTTTGTTGATGCTATAATCATTAATCATACCTACTTTCTTCAGGATGAGCTTTGTTTTGATATAATTGGCTACTTTTTAATAAACTTTTTTTCTTTCTTCCCAAGTAGTATGTCATGAAACCTTAAGCAGTGTCTTCCAAAATACTTGTGAATGTTTAGAAAGTTAATTTGATTTTCAAACTCTTATATTTTGTGTGCTGAAGGAAGGCTTAGGCTGTTTTTGATTGAGACTTTTCCTATTTTATTGAGCAGTGGTGTTCCAGGATCAAGCTGAATTGCACAGGGAGCAGTGGGCATTTGATGGAAACAGATAATAAAATGCATCAATTGTGTCAGCACCTTTTTGCAGTCACATCTGGCTTACTCTCAGAGTACCATTAGATTCCGATGGTTTTATGTGCCAAAAATAACATGCTTTGTAGTTAATGGAACTAGGATATTTGCAGTTTGATTAAAAAAAAAAAGTCATCCTATTTTCTTTCCTATGTTTGTTGGGTTTAAGTTCAATTTGAGCACAGCCTTGTCTCCTTAAAATTTTACGACTGAGAGATCAATTGTTCTTTTGATCTGCTTCTTTCTTTCTCTTATTACAGTGAATCCAGCAGTCTGAGCAGCAGCGATGCTGGTTTGTTTACCAATGATGAGGGAAGACAAGGTATTGAAACAATCTTTCCCTTCTCCACCCCTCAAACCACATCAGTTGAAATTCTGTAAGCGTTACAAGTAATTTCGTAGGCTAATTAATATAATTCAGTTGCTATTACTATTTTAATGAGTTGAAGTATAGCTTGCTTTCTGAGTTTTTTTTTAAATGTTACCAGGGAGTGTCCTGAATCTATGACTTAATCAAAAGCTGTCTTGAGAATCAGTCTCTGTAATATAAAAAACATCCTTATAACTTAAGCATCTCCGGAAGATTATACTAAGTTTTAGTTCTTCAGTTGCTTCAATTTTCAAGGCAAGACTCTGTGATCGTAGTGTTGCTTCTCAAATTATATTTGAGGTGGCTTTTTTCTTTCTTTTATTCCAAATTGGTTTGGCAGGATTTTATAGTTCTCTCTCATCCAGAAGTTTGTTTGAAAAGTACTTTCAAACAAACAACTTGTTCAGCAGCGTAACACTGAGATTAGAGGATACACGCTCTTTAAAGTGTCTCCCCTCTGAAAAATTTTTCTTCAGCTAAAATTCTGTGAAAATTCAAGATTTTCCTTTAGTATACTTAATGTTCTCATGTGTTTTTAAGTGATAAGACTATTGAGGATGGAAGTATAAGACTTTTTTTTTAAGTACAACACATTTACCTGTGTTATGCTAGCATCTTAGTGCCCAGCTGATGGACTAGGAACTCGCTGTCTTTGACAGTATATAAAAATGAGGCAAAAATAGTCTTTCAAGTGGTTAAGACTTGCTTTTCTGTTGGCACTTTCAAGTTAATGGTAATGGAGATTGTTTTCTTATGCAGTTTGCCATAGACTACTTGAGTGTGTGCAAGAAAACAAATCCTGGCCCATTGCACAGTAGTGATTTAGGTTAAAGGAATGTTTGGGGTTTAGGGTTGGTTTTTTTGGGTTTTTTTGCTTTCTCTTCAGTCTCTTTTGGTTTTGTTTTTGTTTTTTCTTTCTTTTATCTTCTATTTTAACATTACAATAGGGAGATGATTTTTCAAACTTAAAACCGGTGTTACCTTCCTTGCTTAAAAGTAACTTGTACTACATAAACTATACGTCCCAGTCTGAGTATCTGGTTTTAGTTGTGCTAGTTACCTATGCTAACACATAGCTTTTCTGGAGAATTGAGGCTCTCTTTGAAAGTTTAGATCAGTCTTTTAACTTTAGGTGAAAAGTATCTTAATCTGAAATAAGTCAAAAATATTTGTTTTTATTTCCTTATATGAATTTCTCTTCTGAGTTGCAATTTTTAAAACTTTTGTTCTCTATGTTTATATGTAACATGACCTACCACATTTCATAATTACATACATTATTGAAGTACCCTACTGATATATTTTTATCAATATTTTTGTCCTTAAATCCTGAACTAAATTATTTAAAACTTTGAATACTATGGTTGAAAACATCTGAGTTACTTTGGGCTCCATATATTATTTTGTTGGAGGAGAGAAAACAAGGCATCGGTGTTCTTTCATTGTTGTGCTGAGCTTTAATTCTTATTTTTGCCTGCTTGGGTTTTTTAACCTTATTTCAGTTTGATTGTAATTTTCAAGCAGAAAGCATTAGACCCGAAATAGTATTCTGAATTATAAATAAAAAGAACAACAAAAATTAAACTTGAGAAGAAAATGGTCAGGACAAAACATTATTTTTTTAATTTCACCTTTGAACCAATTATTTTGTGGATATGATCAGAAGACCTCTAGCTTCACAATGTATCTCAGACATTCTTAAATTTGTATTATAGCTTTGGTTTTGTAAAGACTTTCCATGAAAGTACTATCAGAGTACTATAACCCAAAATTGTTTATTTTCTAATAATACTTATCCCACCCCCCCAAAGAAAATTCTAGTAACTTTTATCTTTGTACTCCCCTTATGAAGTAAGGTGAGGTTATTTTATTTCTATAAATTAATTTATAGCTGAACTAAGACACATACAAAATTGAAAAGAATGAAGGAGGAAATAAATCTGACAAAAGCAAAGGAAAAGAGATGAGAGAAATGAAGCTGGAAGAGGACAGGATGCAAGTGTTTTAAGGGAAGAACTGGCTTTTTTTGTTGTCCATTTTTAAAAGCTAGACTTTGATTCCTGCCTTCCCAGTGTCTCCCTCATCCAGGATATATGTTCAGAACATCAGCACCTTTACCTTGTTTGTAGTTCAAATTTTCTGCACTTCTGACTTGTGGTTTCCACTAATTCAAGTGAACAGAGATTGCTTAATGCCATCTGGAGAAATACTTGGTTTAAATGATGTGCCTGGCATCATTCAGAAGTTTGGGTAGCAGAGGACAAGACGAACTTGTTCTCCAGGGCAACATTTATTCATTCTGTGTCTCTGAGATTAAGAACCATATCCCATTTATTACAGACAAATACTCTTTATAAAACTCTAATTAATTCCCAAAGCATATTCATCCTATGGGGCAGGCATTATAGAAAATAAAGTGATCTAAAGCAGCAATTTCTTTGAGCAGTTGACCAATCAGTTAAATAGCTGAATGTTGAGTTCTGAACTTCAGTGCCTGACCTTGCAACTTTTACAATTTTCCAAAATTGTTTCAGAAAGCAAATGGAAATAAATTCCACCACAGTAACTGTACTCTTCTGTGCATTGACTCTCAGAAGAGTTTCAACTTTTATAATTTGATTCAAGAAAACCAGCTGTAGCTGTAATTAGGGGTGGTAGTGGATTAACTGATAGATATATTTTCATTGCCATGAGAAAAGAAAAGCCTGTCTTCAGCTTCTAGTATGTGGTGCCATGTAACCTTTTTCCAAAAACCTTTATAGCCTTTTTCTTTCCAGCCTGCCTCTGTTCCAGTCTCATAGCTTTTTTGTTTGTTTGATTTGTTTTGTTCCTATGAAGTCCTCATCTAAGCCTAGTCACACTTGTCCTCCTTTTCCAAGTTAGCCAGGTGCTTATGTTAAGTCATATGAGATGGCAAAAGCAGCTCTCTTGCTGTGCTCTATTTCACTACTTGTGGCAAAAGTAATCGGTACTCAATGTTTTGCAATCTCAGTGTGCCAAATGTTTTTCCTTTGTGAAACATTGCATACCCTGTACAGTCAGCCAGAAAAAGCTAAAGATCATAGAGAATGCTCAGCGCAGGTACAGTCACTGGACAAGATAGCTGTTGAACTATTAACCCTCAAGTGAATTCTTAAGAGTTGTGTTTTTTTCAGAGGTTTGCAAATTGGGCAGCTTTGGGGTAAGGTTTAATGTAGTTAGCAAAACCACAAAATCTTAAGCATGTGTCAAGCCCTTGAGTTTGGAGGTGAGAGAGCCTGCTAACAAAGTGATTGAACAGTGACTGAAGCTTATGTATCAGAAATTGTTGTAATTTTCCTTTTTCTTCCCACTCTTTCCTTTATTGCTAATAGAATTTTCTTAAACAATTGTTTTGCAATTATTAAAACCTTTAATGCTAAGCAGTGTTATGTCTGGTGTAGAAAACTATTGCAAGAAGAGTTTCAAAACAAAATGTCTACTCTTACATTGCAACATATAATGCAACTCTATTATAGGCCTAACTAGTAGGTTCACCTGCAATTTATGGATACTTTACAGGTGTGTTTTACAAGGGCAACTTATAAGTTAAAAGGCAAGTGGTAAGTTAAGCTTTCAACACAATGTTAACAAAACTGTAACATTTTTCAAACACTAGTTGATGTTATAGGTGTGGGGGGGGAAGTAAAATTGCAAATATATTCTTTAACGACTTTTGTAGTGTGGTTGTAGCAAATAAATCACTACATTCTGCATTCCTAGTCCATCTACACCTACTAGTACACTTGGGGAAATTCAAAGTTTGACTTAAGACCTCTTAAATCATGACGTGCAGCGCTTGGCATGCCCTTTAAGATCTAAGCAAATAGGAAGGAAAATTATATTAATAAAGTGTTAAACAGTTAAAATTGGAGAAGGTCAGAGAATGTCATGTGGCTAAGCTTTTAAAGATAGCTGTTCATTATTTTATGATTAAACATATATTCATTACTGTGTCCTTTATGAAGATGACCCGCTACTGATTCAGTATAAGAGAATTCCATCCTTTTGTCTTCTCTAGCAAGAAACTAATTTGGACCTTGTATGACATCTTAGTAGCTGCAGGTGCCAAGATGTCATTCTCTGTATATTTTATATAATTTTTTATATCTATTTTATATCTCCATATGTTTTATACAAAAAATGGAATGTGCAATGCCAGGTGTAATCACCACCAGTTTTTAACTGTTCTGCCTAATTAGTTTATAATCTTTGCAGTTGATAAAGAAATTACATGAAGTTGTATATGACCTGAGTTGTTGAAATCCTAAATATTGCATGTGGGTCACAGTGGTAGAGATCAACATAAAGATTGAGATCACATGATATCCTTCAATTCCTTGAAGTATTAGCATTACCCACAGACAAGTTTGCTGTATTTTAAGTATGTGGCTAGGAGAATGCATGGGCTTGGAGGTCTGGAGGTCATTTTGCCTTTCCTGTAGCTTGAAAGAGTACAATAATTTGCTGTAGTCCTGTGCTGAATCGGCATCCCTAAGAGAAAAGGACAGTGTAGTGAACCTCTTGAAGTATTTTGAAGTCCAGAAATGTTGCTTTGAACTTCTAATTCCTGTAAGTCCATGTTTGCTATGGGTACTGTTGCTTCTTGAGAGCTGCAAGTATTTGGTTACCAAAATCTTCAGCAAGGAGGCCTCTGTGTTATATTGCCTATACATATGAGGTCAGAAAATGATTAAATGCAGTAATCTTCCCTGACTCCTTTTGAACATTGAATCCCTTCAAGGTGGAGCAACTGGTAAGCAAAATGCTGGTGTGTGCTTTCACCTGGATAACAATAATAGTAGAAGGTTTATGCTCACCTCAAGGTGATAATATGATTGAAAACAGTCAAAGGGCTCAGAGTTTTTTAAAGTGCACAGATAAGGAAGCTAAAAACCAGGTACACCTGGATTCTGCTGTCAGGTGGGAAAAGCCCTTGAGGTTCAGATCTTAAGTCTGCCTTGGGCACTAAGAAACATAAGTGGTTAGGGAAGTGTATAGTATCATAACAGGTAAGGTGTCTTAACAGATGGTTGCTTAACATATTAATATTCCTATTGCATAAAAAGGAAAAGTGATTTTGTATTTTTTCCCAAAGAGCCGTTGTTGGGCATATAGTGAAGATACTAGTTTCTTTCCATAGCCATCATTTGCCATAACCTGCAGTCCACCAACCTGGTTTTAAATTCTGCCTCTTTCTTCCAAGACTGCATTGCATGCCTCTTACAGGCTTCTGTCCTGATTGTGAAACTCAATTTCAGAATTCTGTAATTACTTCCATAGCTGAATTGTGTAATAACTTGAGTTCCTGATAGTATTTCTTGTTAGTCAAGGTGTCTAGAACTCTCATTTTAGGAGAAGATATTCAGACGAAGTTTATCTATGTAAAATTTTGGAAAATCAAACCAAGGGAATTTAAACTTTATTCTGAACCACAGATCAGTGTAATGAAAAGGTGTGATTCTCCCTCCACCACAACCACTGTCCTGTTCGGTACCCCTGCTGTGGGCAGGGACACCTCCCACTAGACCAGGTTGCTCAAAGCACCAACCAGCCTGGCCTTGAACACTTCCAGGGATGGGGCATCCACAGCTTCTCTGGGCAAGCTGCTCCAGTCTCTCACTACCCTTACAGTAAAGAATTTCTTTCCAGTATCTAATCTAAATCTCCTCTCTTTCAACTTAAAACCATTAGCCTGAGTCCTATCACTCCACTCCCTGATAAAGATTCACTCCCCATCTGTCCTGTAGGCCCCTTTTAGGTACTGGGAGGTGGCCATAAGGTCTCCTTCCACTTCTATTTTCCCCTTCCTCCATCTAAAAGTTCCTATTTTCTAGCCTCTGCTAATTTTGCTCTTAGTAATGATCACTAAAGATGTAAGGATCATGTCTCACCTGCAAGTAATTGGTAAGGGGTGTTAATTATTCTATATTTTCTTGAAGTACTTGTCCTGGTGAATGTTTACAGCCATTTTCACTTGTGCATGCTCTTGAGGTATTCTTTTCTTTGCAAAAATTTGTTTGGAGCATGTTGAATTTTATTTTTCCTTAAATTTTGACTTGTGTTTTCATTCTTTGTATTTTCCCATTGTGGGGTTGAGCGGCAATGAAACTTTACACAAATGGTTTTTGTTCTTGAAGGTTGTGTCTAATAAATCTTGCATGTGTGTCTTGCTTAGTTCTGCCTAATTAAAAATTGAAATGCCAAACAAATAATTTATGTGCAGAAATAGTGAGGCATGGTTTCCATACTTTGAAGTAGAATTAAAACGTACAACACTGTCCTGGTTTCAGTTGGGATGGAGTAGTTTTCTTTCTAGTAGCTGCTGTGGTTTGGATTTAGTATCAGAATAATGTTGATAACACATATTGTTTTAGTTGTCACTAAGTTATGTTTATATTGTCAGGGACTCTTTCAATTTCCTATAGAAGCTGAGAGGGACCATAGACAGGACAAGCTGGCCACAGGAATATTCCATACCATAGACGTCATGCTCAGTATATAAATGGGTGTTGGCCTGGGAGCAGGGATCCACAACCACTGCTTGGGACAGGCTGGGCAATCAATCATCCAGTGTTGAGAGCAAGTGTATTGCATCACTTCATTTTGTATATTGTTTTACCATTATTATTATTTTTTTTCTCTCCCATTACTATTCTGTTAAGCTGTCTTTATCTCAATTCATGAGTTTGGGTTTTTTGCTCCTTCTCTGTACCGTATCAGGGTTGGGGGGGAGAAAGGAAAATTTTCCATACCTTATGAAGATATTTTCTGATCTTCTGTAAACTACTTTGTTTGTATCAAAGAACATGTTTTAGAACAAGCATAATGATTTATCTTTAGTCGCCAGTGTGTTTATGAGCTAAGTTTAAGCTCAGATTGTCAGTCTTGTTTTACTTCTGACTTTAAATCCAGGTATTTAAATACTACATCTATAAATATTGTCAGCAAAAATGACCAGCTTCGTGGTATAATGCAGTATAATTCTCAGTTGCATGATACTGTCAGTTTTCATTTAAAATCAACTTTTTCAAAACTTACTTCTAAATGAACTTAATCAGATTAACTTCATTTAGTCACATCTGTTCATGATTGTTTTCCCCTTTTACTAGCCATACAAATCATGAAATTAAGCTAATTATATACCATTATCAGTTGCAAAGAACTAGTTTCACAGTTTTATACCTTTTAATACCCTGCAGGAGATTAAGGCTTGTTTTTTGTTAATATGTAAAGTGCAGTAACTTAAATGGATTTCCCCGCAGTTATTGCCAAAGGATTAACTAGTTTATTATTGTTTTTCCACTATTGTAAATTGGTTTTAAAACATTACGTTTTATGTGGTTTCATTGATGGCAACACTTGTCATGCTATTGGAAACATTTTCCAAATAGAACTGCTATATACGAGTAATTGTTATATAGCTATAAAGCAAAAGAAATAATTGTCCTGTCAGAGTGTTTATTGATGGTAACATCTGATTTTTATCTTCTCTGCTCCTCCCTCTCTTTTGGGGGGATACTGCTCTCACACAGGTGATGATGAGCAGAGTGATTGGTTTCATGAAAATGAATCTGGTGGAGCATGTGGAATTACAGGAGCCATTCCCTGGTGGGAACAAGAAGACTCGACAGAACTGGAGAGAGAATTGCCTGATCCAGTCTTTGAAAGTATCCTAACTGGTACTTTCCCTCTTATGTCCCGTTCAGGGAGGAGAGGTAAGTAGCAATCAAGAAAATGCAAGCTGTAGAATCACTTGGGTACAGTAAAAAGATACTGTGGGTTATACAAAATATGTAAAATGTTGACAAGATCTTGGACTTAGCAGGTTGTTTCCTTGAACTATTTCATTTTTAAGGTACTATTAGAGAGAAGTAACTTTTAAAAAGTCAATGATTAGAGAAGTCAGAAAGTGGCTCGCTTTGATAGTCTACTCTTTTGTTTGTTGTCTCAATGTTTGCATTGAGAATAAAGTGGTATTTAAAATGAATCTTTATATTCCATTTTGTTCCTGGCTTCTGTGATGGAGTTTAAAAGTAGAAGTTCATTAATTGAAAGGCTGGAAAGACTAGTGTGACCATCTGTTTTGCTGCTTTATGGTTGGGCCATATTGTTTGTAGAGAAGAGGGAAGGGTTCCTTTAGAGCGAGGATTGAGGTTGTAACTGAGAAATTTTTTTTTTTTTTTTCTGCTTTAACATACTTTAAAAAACTGTAGATCGGATGTCTCCAATGGAAAGTTGCACCAGTGTTAGATTGCATTTGCAGCTAGGAACCCACTCTCATCTAAAGATTGAAGATGTCAGACCTCAGCTTGCTGCCAAATGATTTTGTTGTGCTTTCCCTCTGCCACAAGGATCTCCTTTCACATTCAAATACAGATCTTTTACGTGAACCGTGGTCAAATCACTTTTAAACTACTGTGCACACTGAATGTATTGAATACGTTTGTGAGGCTTATTTTGCAGATGCTTGGAATTGTTTCTGAGGTTTTAGTCTCTGCATGTTCACCAGATTTAACATTTTATAGTACTAATGAAGTTGTAGGTGATACAAAAATCACTTTCCTACTGTAGTTCAGTATGCTCTGCTTATGCAGCCAACTGTGCATAGAACCAGAATGGCAGTAAGACTATCTGCAGAAATGTTCATTTTCATGCCAACTTAGCCTTTCTCCCACTCTTTCCATTCTGTACTCTTTGTTTCCACCAGGACAGTCTTTGACAATATTAAGATGTTTTTGTTTGACTGAAGTCAGATTGATAGATTGGTGTGTAATGGTGAATTTTATTGGCTATATGGTATAGAAAATATTCTTAAATCAATTTGTATTTCTTTCTTGTAGGTTTCCAGAGTAGATTTAGTCATCTTCATGGAATGCCAGCACGAAACATAAAAAAGGCTTCAGGAAACCAGAATGCATTGGTAGGTGCTTTTATTATGTTAAACTAATGTGCACTGTTCTTAGAGGGTTTTTTTAAAAAAGTGTATTCTTCTTATGCTTGTTTCTTACTCTTGTAGATAGGTAATGGAATGGTAAGACTCCAGCGCCACTGCTGCCTGATACTGTGTGTTTGCTTCTTTTAATAGATAGACTCTTCCTACTGGAATTCTATTGTTATGGAATATTTGTGTGTACTTGAGTGGCAGAAACAGTCTGATACTATTTCTCAGTACTTATTTTGAGCCAAGTGTAGGAAGAGGTTTGGGGGAGGGAGGAGGCATTATTTAACATTATCAGTATATATCTTACATCTGTATGCAAACATGTTTCTCTCCTCTCACAATGAAAACTAAATCAAAGTTATTTTAACTTTTTCTCATACTGAAAGCATTCTAGGATGGATTGTGGTACAGTTGTGATTGATTTATTTTATTATTCTGTTTTTTCCCAAAAGTCTGGTTTATAAAATCTGTCCTTATTGTCTTTTGTTTGGTTGACTTTTGTTTGGCCAGGGAAAAGGGTATATACAAAAAGTATAAAACAAGCTAGTGATGCACCTATCACAGATACCATGCATTCCTTTGGACTGAGTTTATTCTGAGGCTGTGACTACAAATGAGAGATGTTTGGGGTTTTTTAGTGCCTTCAGCTCTAGGAGCAATGTTTATAAGTGAAGGAAAAAAAATCCAACTGTCCTTGCATTTTTGTACAATCCAATAATTGGATTTTCCTATAGCATTTTTCCAAAGTAAGATTCTAATGAATTTTTAAGAATTTGTTCATTGGAGGAGGGCATGAGGAGAAGAGAGACTTGAATTAAAATCTTAAAATATATTCATTGTAGTGTAGTCTATTCCTTTCTTATCAGAATAGCACTTGGAAGAGAAGAATGTGGGAGACTCTTTATAAGTGTGTAATAATCATATCCCAGCATGATAAATACTGCAAGATCAATGTTCTTTATTATTTGAGAACATTAAATGTTTTCAAATTTTAATTTGCCTAAACAAAAATAAGGTGCTTCTGAGAAATGTAAGAGCTATTACATGTGGAAAGAATAGAAAGGAATTGTTAGAAATTTAACTCACTTTGAAGAGGGAAGGTTTTTATAATTGAAGTCCCTGTCCAATAATTGCCATTTGGAACTGAGTAAGATGCTTTAAAACCTTGGCCTGTGATCTCTGCTGTTAGTGGTTGTGAATTAGATGAATGCTATCTAGTTCTTAGTTTCCTATCTACCTATTTTTATTTTTGGTTCAGTGCTTGCTTGAGCATATCTGGGATTTGTAGCCCATTTTCTAGGCTTATTGCAATTTCACTCTGGTATTTTATAGGAGCTATTATAACTGATAGGTTAGCTTCATGGTATTGATGATACATGGCTTAACTACCCTAAAAACTGCCTTTTCCTCTAAATTGTAAAAAGGTGATTAAATTTCAGTTGATGAAGATATACTGCCAATGCATATATATAATAAAAAATCCCAATGTTTATTTTCTGCTACACTTTCTTGATTGTCCTTAGGAGCCCATTTTATCTTCCAGTCATGGTATCTCATATATAAAGATGGTATCATAGTTGCCTTTATAACAAAAATACAAGCGAATCTGCTACAGACTGATAATTCAGTTACCTCCAGTTATTAAATATATCATTTACATAGTGGTGTGAAAGAAGGCCGACACGTGAATGTACCTTCTAAGACACTGTGTTTAGGCGGGAGTGCATAGGTAGAATAGATGTGCAGTTGGCTGTGCAGATGCAGTTTTCTGACCTTCTTAATGACTATTTATGTTTGTGGGCACATCTGCTGGAACCGTCTTTGCAAATGTAGCTATATAAGCCAGAGCTCACGTGCTTCCTTTTGTCAGTGATTGCTTCTTAAAGAAAATCTATTTTAGATACTTCAATCCAATGACAAAAAAAAAGGAATTTAATACTTGTGACATCTGATAAGACAGAACAAGAAGTAATTACTGCTATTAGATGGTAACAGTGAAGAATAGCAAGAATGCTTTTAGAAAGATTAATATGCTGAGGAAAGAACACTGCAGACTAAACTCATCGAACGGAGTTGTGGTGTGACTTAATTCTTTTTTAACAGTGAGGAGTCTGATGTCTGTATCACTGCCTTTACACAGGTTTTTAAGGGAGACAAAGTGAAAAATGGGTTTTCCTACACTACCTAAAAGACACACATTATTCAATCTAAGGATGTGTAGTTTGTATCTGGGGAATGTAAGCACATAGTTAGCCCTTTGCAAATAGTCAATGTGTTTAAAAAGTTAAAACTTTTTTGGAAAGCTTAGTTGAAGGTTCACATATATACCAGCTAGCAAAGCTTTGAAGAGGTTACAGGTTTAGGGAAGGCTGAATGAATAGCAATGTTAATACCTCAATATATCATTATCCTTTGTCAAAAATGTGTTTAATACCCAGCTGTTTGTCTGTTTTCTTGTAATAGAAACATCAGGCTAAGAGTGTGATTATTACTTGCTACGTAATGAGGAAACCGCCAGCTTTTCATACCGTGGTTTCTAGAAGCAGTGGGAGCTGAGAATCAGAGGAAGAATGCTACTTGCTCTTTATGGACCAGTTAGTGAAGTTTAATTTGAAGTAACCATAGCTGGCACTCAGATTCAGTCCAGATGCTCTTCCTGCATTTCATTGAGTTGCTTAATTTGAACAAACTCGTGGGTCTTTCTCTCATCAAGTGTATTGCCTTTGAGTCAAAACACTTTTCTAATGATCATACAACACTGGACAAGCAAGAGCGAAGTAAAAGCTTGGCATGCAAATACTATGAAAATCCTCAACTAATCCAATGTGCAGGTTGAGTGAGTTGTGAGACAGCAGATGACAACTGAAAGAACTGTGCAAGAAAATGAAGAAAAAATGAACCAGAACTGGCTTACATCCTTTGGATTGTCCAATTTACTTAAGATAGGCACGTTTTTTTATGGAATTCATAATTAAATGGTGTTAGACATATTTTCACATAAAATACATTACTGGCTGTTCATGTCTGCATTGCTTAGTTTGTGGCAGCATCATTTGTAAAAGCTTTATTTGAAAAGAAATAGAAAAGCACGTGGCTTTTCTGACACACTATGGTTTTGACCTTTCTGTGTCAAATTACTAGTAGCAACTTTGTAATTATAATCAGAAACATGCTACATGTACTTTTATACCATATCAGTATTAAATGTACTCTTTTAGTAAGGTATGTTGCATGAAATCTTAACGCTGTTTGGTTGAATTCTGCAGCTATATATGACCTGATCAACTATTCCCAACCCCTGCATTCTTTTATGTTAGGCAAAAGTTCCACAACTTAAAAGTAGTGTTCTATGAGTGAAACACTGATTTCTTAAAAGGACGCTTTTTTCATCCCATCTTTTTTTCTACATGTGTTTATAGATTTGAATGTCATTTATCTAGTACTGTGTCTCTGCCCTTAACATGTGAAGCTTTGGTATTTAGTAGAAAATCTAACATTTTAGATGAATGTTTTATGCAGAATTCTAGATGAACTGTTTACCTTCAATGGTTAAGGCTGCCATGCTTTTCTCAGATGGATTCCTGGAGAGATCACAAAGGCCCTAGTTAAAGAAAGTAAGAGTTAATAATTATAGTTAGTGAACATAAAACATGACTACTTTTTTATTTCAAAAGTTTTCTCCAACTAAGTACTTAGTGACTGTAAAATTTCACTTCTGTTCACAAGTCCTCTGTACAAATAAGTGAAGGACTTAAAAACCAGTGCAGCTGTCCTAGCTTTTCCTTGTGTGGTTCTAGGTGCAATTCCTTGCCTTGGACAGGGAGAGACATTGTAGGGTTTTTGTTCGAGGACTCTTACACATCGTCTCTTCCTGCCTGGATTCTCTGTCTGGGCTGGAAGCTGGGAAGTGACTTCACTGGGCTAAAAAGACCAAAACACATGACCAATAAAATAGATGCTTTCTTTTGACTCTGCCAATTTTTCCATCCATCACCTTTATATCATAGGTTTTGATTTCATGATATTAAAACCAGGCTATGTTAAGTCTTGCAGTCCTAGGATTGAGGTTTTTTGTTTTGTCTTTCACAGCTTACTATGGAGCTTGAATATATCTAGTTATACTTATTCAGAAGTAAATAAGGAATGGAAGCTACGTTTCAGAGACTTGTTATCTGAAGGTGTTTGTCAAATCCTGTCTTTTTCGAAAGTTCCAAGGTAAAAGAGCTTTTCTCAAAAAATTGTTGTCAGATAGCTACTGCTCTGAAGTGACGAGTAAAGACGTATCAAGCACTTCTGTGTTTTGTTAACTGCTTTCAAAATCTAAAACCAAATCAAACATTTCTGCTTCTAAGTTCTTTCTGAAGAAGAACTGAAGAAACAGCCAGGTGTTTTCAGGATTTTTTTTCTTGTAAAAATATTTTGGAAACTGAGTGAAATGGTATTAGATAAGAAACCTTATTACAAATCTAAGGAATTCTTCCTTACAGAGTAAGTTGAGTGGGTTTTTTTTACAGTATTGGTAAGAAGCCTCTTTATGGATGGTCTTCAGGTTTTGGAAAATTGCTACTTCTGGAGTTGATGTTGATTTGGTGTTATGGAGAATTCTTTTACTCTGGATGTGTGACATAGATAAAACAATTCAGTTTCGGTGAGGTGCACGTAATAACTTCTCTGTGGGGTTTTAATTTTTTTCTTTCATTAATGACTTTTGGCATTTGGAGCAATAGTCTCTAGGTCAAAATCTGTGGAAATGTCAGTGGTATTAGATGATGTCTGATAACAAAGCTAAATTCTTGTTGGATTCCAGACTTCCTCTTGTTCAGGATCAGGATTATTAGGCCTCTAAGGATGACATTCTGAAACCTTACACTGCTAAAGCCATGAATGAATTTTCCTTTAAGTGGGTAGGAGGTTAATGGCTTTTGGGTTTCGTAATGGAAGTTTTTATTAAGATTTCTTGTCATCAAATGTATTTTCAG